TAATGTCAACCTCCTATTAATAACCCCCCCCCCCCCCTTGATTGATTTGTCGCCCGGGGTAGGGGGGATTGATTATTGAGGGGGGTCGTCGTCGTAGTACAGTAGTACAGTATCACAATAATTAGTACAGTAGTACAATAGTACAGTATTATAGTACTACAATATAATGATAATAGCACAATAGTACAAAAGTACAGTATTGATACAATAGTACAGTAGTAGAGTAGTACAATACGAGTATTGTAGTAATATTTAGAGTAAGTAATAATTAATACAGTAGTAGTTGCACGTTATCGCGGCCGAGCAGCTTGGGCTCTCGGCAATTATCGCCCTCTTGCACTCTCACGCAGCCGCTCCTCTCGTCTCTAGATACGTATCCAGTATTGTTTCTTATTTTTTGTTTATTTGTAATTATGAATTAAACTACATCTCTCTTAGAACTTGTCTAATTACACTCAATCCCCCAAGGCAATGGCCTCCTTGACGACAACCTCTGTGCCGGCTCTCTCTGAGATTGCAGAGGAGGGGCCTCTGTAAAATAAGTAATAAATAAACTCTAATTTCGGAATCCCCTGCAGGCGGGCTCTCTGGCCCCGGCCGAGGATCTCTCGATGATGGGAGACGAGGAGGGTTCAGTGGGTTAAGGGGTGGTGCTCTGGTTTTGGGGGGTTTCTCTTGCCCTGCAGGGCGGCTCTACAGCAGCGGAGCCCGGAGCTCCTCTCGCGGACTCGGACCAGGCAGCTCTGGGAGAGCTTTTGGACTCTAAGTAAATGGGCTTTAGTAATTATAATAAATCTCGAGGGTTTAAAAGGGTTTTTCCCTGCAGGCTCCGGCCAACTCTGCTCTCGGCGGAGGAGGAAGCGGAGGCTCTGGCCGTGGTGGACCGCCGGGCCCCGGCTCTCCGGGGGATGCAACTTGTCTAATTAGTTATAGGGTTTAATTAGGGGTTTAGGGGTTTAGGATAATTATTGCTTGTATTCTCTCAACCTCAGGGATGGGGCTCTGATCCTCCCGTGCTGGGCTACTACACCGGAGCCCGTGTCGTGGGCCTCTCGCTGCTGGTGGTGTGCCTAGACCGTAATTACACCTGTAATTAAACCCGACTAAACCCTAATTAATGGTATTGAAACCTAAACCCCAAACCCTAAACCCAAACTCTCAGGAATGTCTCTTCGATCCTGGTCACCTACCATCGTGCTGCCGATAGTCTCGGGGCTCTTCGCCGCAGCGGAACGCACACGCGGCTCACTCTCAGAAGGCCCTCTTCTTTCTTTAAGTATTTTTTGGGGGGGTTCGCTTTGTTTCTTAATGGGGGTTGAGTTTATTTAGTGATTCAGTATAGAATATAGGGACTGTAAATCAGGTGGTTGGACGCCGAGCTCTCGCGAATGCACTCTGAGTCGCACCACACGGCGAACTCTTGGCAGGCGGTTTGTGTCTTCTCTAGATTTCGCAGCTTCTTTTCGTTTTCGTTGTGAATTAACAAAGATAGTAATTACTAGGGTTTAGGGTTTATTTATTAATTAATTAATTATTCATTAATTAATTAAGTTCTAATTACTAGTTCCCAAATCCTCTCAGGCATTATGGGAGCTTTGGGTGCAACTCTGGAGTGCATCTGGAAGCTCCTCCACGAACTCTCGGACGACTCTTAATTACAATGGAATTAACCCGAAACCCTTAAACCCTAAACCCTAACCTTAGTTACTTACTAATCTAACCCTAAAGCCACTCCCAGGAGACGGCGCCCACTCCAGCGCATGTGGGCGAGATTCTGGCCTCTGTGAAGTGGCTCTGGGAGGAGTTTCTCGACTTGAAATAATTAATTAATAAACCCCTAAGTAAGCCCTAAAACCCCACTTGAGCCCTGAACCCATAATTAATTAACCCTTAAACCCCTAAACTCTAAACCCTAAGTAACGAATACCCTGGAGGTCCGGGCTCTGCTCTCCTCTCTCCAATGCACCGGAGTTTGGGGGTGTGCTTGGATTGTGGTTTGCGAACCAAAGCTCTATCGTCATTGACCGCTGCCGCTACCTTGCTGAGTTTCTTGGTTGTTTAATTAACGTATTTCTTTCCGTAATTAGTTATATCTCAATAATGTAATGACAATGGGTTGTTTTAATTCTTAATTGAACATGGATTCGGATGCGTCTGTGGACACTACAATCCGCCGAGAAAAAATTGAACATGGCAGGTTCTCTTGCTATCGGCAGTTCAGCTGGCCTCTCATGCTTCGACGAGCCTCTCGGTTTAGTTAATAAAGGGTTCAGGGCTTAGTTAGGGGTTGTTAATTAAATAGTTAATTGAGGTTTGGGGGAAGATGGCTTATGTTTTGCTGCAGGTGTCCTTCCCTCTCTGGTTGGAACAACAAGCCCTCTCGGTGACCTGCTTCTCTGCCGACCGATGGGACCCTCTGCTGTGATCACCAACTTTTTTTTGCAACCTCTAGTTAAAGCCTGAAACCCTGAACCACAAACACCCACCCTAAACCCTAAACCCTAAATTAATTCTCATCCGAGGCCTAGAGGAACCTCTCAGGGAGAAGATCTCTTTGATGCTCGGTTGTTTTAATTAATTAATTAAGCCTTTCAAAAAATGTAATTAAACAACACCCCTAAACCCTAAAGGCCCTAAAGCCTAAAACCGGAAAACCCACAACCCCTGATTAATTAAACCTTGAACCCTTAATTAAACCCTAAATAACTAAACTCTGAAACCTCTAACTTGAAACCCCAAACCCTGAAATAAGCCCTCTGAAACCCTAAACCCCAAACTCTAAACTTACCCAAACCCTCAAACCCTAAACCCCAAACTCTATCCGAGGCATAGGGGTGGAGCCTCTATGCCTTGATTCTGGCGACGCTCGGCTCTGGTTTTAGGGTTCGGGGTTTAGGGGTCAAGGGGTTCCAGGGTTTGGGGCGGTTTTAGGGTTTCGGGGTTTAGGGTGAAGGGGTTCCAGGGTTTGGGGTTCGTTGGGGGTATTCCTTAATTAAACCCTATGTACCTAATTAATTAAGGCTTAACTAAACCCTTCTTAAGTAATTAAACCAAAAACTTCAACACCCTAATTAACCCCAAACCTTAAACCGTGGCCCTACACACAAACTAGGCCGTACACCTTAATTCAACCCTAAACTCCCCAAACCCTCTTAATTAATTCATGCTCCGAGGAGCTCTTTGCTTTGGCTCTCGAGCAGCACTCTACGCTGCTCGACGATAATACTCATTATTATATTATATTATATTATATTATATTATATTATATTATATTATATTAATTATATTATAGAATATTATATTATATTATACTATATTATATTATATTAATTATATTATATTATATTATTTATATATATATATATATATATATCATGATTTCATGTATACTACTTAATTATACACATATGTTATATATGTATATGTATTATATATATATATATATATATATATGTATATGTATGTATATATATATATATATTTATGTATATGTATATGTATATGTATATGTATATGTATATGTATTTACATATATGTATATATATATATATGTGTGTACATATTCATATATATATATATATATATATATACATATCTATCTATCTATCTATATATATATATATAATGTTATACATATGCCCATCCCAGGCTTTGATGAGCCGGGCTCTTCAAGATCGAGAGCTCGCAGAAGCCGGCTTTTTTTAAAGTAACCCTAATTAAACCCTAAACGCTAAACCCTAAACCCTTACCTTAACTTCGAGCCTAAACCCTAGACTCTAAAACCTTAACACCTGAACTCTCAGGCAACCCAAAACCCTACTAAACCCCCGAAACCCTAAACCCCAACCCTTAAACCCTAAACCCTTACAGGCCTTAATTACCTTTACCTTCGAGCCTAAACCTTAGACTCTAGAACCCTAAAACCTCAACTCTCCAAAAAAGCCCGCTCTCTGCTGGAGCATCTCTCTGGAACTGTTCAGCCGACTCTCAGCTTGGCTCTGCAAAAGAGCTCACTCTTTTGTGCTTTGGGGTTTAGGGTTTATGTACGGTTTAATTAATTAGTTTAGTTTCTAGCGCAAACACACACAAACACGCATGCTCTCTCTCTCTCTCTCGCTGTCTATGTTTCTCTCTCTCTCTCTCTCTCTCTCTCTGCTTTTAAAGTTGTGTTTTGCGGAGAACAGTCAGCCCGGGAGCTCTTTTGCTCTCAGCAACTTGGCCTCTTGCTTGGAAACATGGAGACTGTCTCTCCCACCGTCTCTGTGAACCAGTGCCTCCGTTCGCATTTCGCTTTGGCTCTTGTGTCTCTTTCAATAATCTTTTCTTTTTATTGCCGGACTCAGGTACGTTTCTCTTCTCTGCATCAGCAGATGCTTCTTGGAGCACGAGGAAGACGTCGCCTCTCTGATTGGAGAACTCTTGGGCCTGCCTCTGCATGATTGCTCTTGGTGCCTTGAGGACGGCATGAGGTTCTCTCCGGAGGTCTCTTGTTTCAGCTCTGAGAGGTGGACTCTTCAGGGATGGCTGATCCGACGCAGAGATCTCTCTGTTGGAGACCTTCTCTTCTTGGAGGGCCGTCGCTCTTGGCGGGTGCTGACCCAGGAGGATCTCGATGATCTGGGGAACTCTCTGCCTGGCAGTCAAACACACTCTGAAGCTTCTGAGCATGATGAGCACCACTCTGATCATGATGATTGGGAGATGTTAGTTCCTCTCCCTGCCTCGCCCGAAGCGGCCTGAACTGAACTCTCTCTCGCTTTCAGCAGAAACAGCCGGCTGCTCGCAGGGTCTCTGTCGCATGTTTGTTGAGCGGCCACTCTGAACAAGTCTTTTGAATAGCCAAGAACTTCTCTTGTGCATTCGCCGCAAGACTCTTTTGAGCAGCCACGCTGAAGAAGGCAGAACTGAAGCAGTGTTCTCTTTTCAACCTTAGCAGAAGCTCGTATCAGCCCCGCTCTGACCGTGTAAGTCCTTTAGAAAGGCATCGCCTCTCCATTGCAATGGCAATGGAGATCTCTTCGGAGGAGGAAGCGGCACCGGATGCCGTCGGCTCTTCCCTCGGTCTTGCAGGAGCTGTCGTTGCCTCTGAGTCCAGCTCTTCCAGCAGACAAGGCACGTTTGGTAAAGTGTCAGCAATGAACAATGATCCTGCTCTCCTTTCCCTGCTCCTTTGAAAGCCGAAGCTTTCGCAAGCAAGGACATGAAGGCATAGTTTCTGAGGCCCTTTAAATCTGCTGTTTCGGAGTCCCGTGGCTTTGGAAGCTAAAGCTTTCCCAATGCAGGGCTTGGCTTCTAAAGCTTGCTTTCCTTTTGAATCCAAGGCTTTCCCAATGCAGGGCTTGGCTTCTAAAGCTTGCTTTCCTTTTAAAGACACCACCAGAACGGCCCTCCCCGGCGGGAGTTTATAATTGAGGGGGGTTTATAATTCTGCAGAACGGCTTTTGTTAGTACTCCATCAGGACGGATTGATTTTTGGCTCCGGGAATAAGGAATTTTATTAAGGAAGGCATGGTTTCTGGAGCCCTCTATATCTGCGGTTTCGGAGTCCCGTGGCTTTGGAAGCTAAAGCTTTCCCAATGCAGGGCTTGTCTTCTAAAGCTTGCTTTCCTTTTGAATCCAAGGCTTTCCCAATGCAGGGCTCGGCTTCTAAAGCTTGCTGTCCTTTTAAAGGCACCACCAGAACGGCCCTCCCCGGCGGGAGTTTATAATTGAGGGGGGTTTATAATTCTGCAGAACGGCTTTTGTTAGTACTCCATCAGGACGGATTGATTTTTGGCTCCGGGAATAAGGAATTTTATTAAGGAAGGCATGGTTTCTGGAGCCCTCTATATCTGCGGTTTCGGAGTCCCGTGGCTTTGGAAGCTAAAGCTTTCCCAATGCAGGGCTTGTCTTCTAAAGCTTGCTTTCCTTTTGAATCCAAGGCTTTCCCAATGCAGGGCTCGGCTTCTAAAGCTTGCTGTCCTTTTAAAGACACCACCAGAACGGCCCTCCCCGGAGGGAGTTTATAATTGAGGGGGGTTTATAATTCTGCAGAACGGCTTTTGTTAGTACTCCATCAGGATGGATTGATTTTTGGCTCCGGGAATAAGGAATTGTATTAAGGAAGGCATGGTTTCTGGAGCCCTCTATATCTGCGGTTTCGGAGTCCCGTGGCTTTGGAAGCTAAAGCTTTCCCAACGAAGGGCTTCGCTCAGTATATAGGCATACGAGGCTTCGCTCTTGCTTGCAAAGCTTGCTTTCCTCTGACTCATTCGGCATGTCATTGAATCAATGCTTTCTTTCCCTCGTCAGGCCTGCAAGCTTCTCTTCGGCGGTTCTTCCAGCCCTCTCACCCAGAAGCTCAGAAGCCAGTGCGGTTCCTTCCCGGCAAGCAGGGCGGTCGGCCCCTCTCTCGCGAGATGAAGCAGATCATCGCTCAAGTAGCTGAAAAGCAAGCTCTCGAACAGAAAGCTCTCGACGAAGCTTTGATAGCTCGAGAGAGCGAAGTGCAAAGCAAGAAGCGGTACTACGGAGGCCGCCCCAAAGGCAGGAGCTCTGGGAGAAGCGATCTCCCAGTTGCCGTGCGGGCAGCTCTCGTGCAGGAGATGGAACTCGCTGTTGCAGGCGACCGCTTCTCTGACGAAACGGAGTTCTTCAGTTACTTCGCCAAGAAGTTCGCTCTGCCGAAGAAGCGAGTCAAGACTCTGTGGCTGCAGCGGAGCTTGGTCAAGAAGACCTCTCAAAAGAACAAACTCTCACGCAAACCCCACCGCTACACTGGTGCCAAGGGCACCAAGAGGTCGCATCTCAAGCGTGCGTACAGAGGCTTTCGTCTGCCAGGAGCGGGTCGGAAGCACTCTTTCCCCGACTTGGTGGACAAGGCTCGTGAGTGGTTCAACGAGATGCGCTCTTACGGGAACCAGGTGCTTCGAGTGGACCTCTACAACTACTACATCCACCTCATGGAGATGGACAAGATACGGGTGCAGGCGGATCTCTCTGATCCGAAGCTGCTGCAGCCAAAGCGGACGCCTCTGCAGGTGAGGCTCTCGGAGCTGGACAAGCAGCTGGCCTCTCAGAAGAAGAGCGACAAAGCCAAAGAGTCTCTGAAAGGTCGTCTCGAGAAGTGGTGCTCTGCAAGGAACTTGAGGCCTCACCTCGTCACCAAGCTCACGCCTCTCCAAGAGCAGTCGAGATGCCACTTGACGTGGCAATCTTTCGACAGGGCTCTCTGGCTTGCTGCCTGCTCTGACGAGGAGACTCTGGGGAAGCACGTCTCTAAGCCAAAGCAGTTCTTGGAACACAGAGCCTCTCTCGCGATCCTTTTCGCCGATCAAATTCCGCTCTGGGTAAAGGCGGGTGCCGAGAGGTCTCTCTTCGCCGAGTGGGAGCGAAAACCCACCTCTCAGGCGGCTCTCCGGCAGGACTTGGCTGCTCTGCACGACAAAAAAACTCCGGGCAGGCGGACGTGGACTCTGGTCTGGTTGTGCAGCACCCAGACTCTTCCGGAGATGCTCAGGGTCAGAGGCAACTCCGCTCACGCCAGGACCTCTCTGCAATGTTTTACTTGGGTCGTTTCTGTTATAATTCATAACCTTATTCCTGCCGGCAGGAGCCTCTCGCGGACCGCTTCCGCCTCACTTACGAAGCCCGGCAGGTCTTGTTGAACTACAACTCTCCGGGAACGCCGCCGACTGGCCTCTGTTACAAAGGTCTCATCATCATCAGCGGGCCTCATGCCAGACTCTCGAACATCTCTCAGGACGGCAAGTGGCTCTGCGATGAGACCTTTGAGTGGAGAGGGAACCTTGTCTCTCACAAGAAGGGCACCTCTGTTGGCAGGCTCATGGAGCCATGGAGAGCTCTGCGAGCCCAGAAGCCGCACCTCTTTGAGCACGTCTCTGTGATGATGCAACCGAGCTCTAATGCCGACAGCATCATACTCTCCTGGGTGGCCCAGGAACTCTCAGAGGCGTTTCCAGCTCTGCTGGTGCAGAGGGACTGCCTGGGAGCCTCTTTCACAGAGTCTGTCTCTGGTGCCCACTTCTTGGGGAACACGATCCAGACTCTGGTCGCTCCGAAGATGACGGCCTCTCTCCAGTTGACGGACACAGCCTCTCGCATGCACTGGTCTTTCTGTTTTTGTTTCGAGCTCTCAACTCCCAAACCCATTCTGAGGACTTCTCTCGCAGATTCAAGTCTCTGTGCCGCACCTCTATGGCGGAGAGGAGGTCTCTGGGCCAGAAGGCTCTGACAGAGAGCGGCAAATCCTCTGTCTGGGCTGCCTCTGTGGAGGACATCTGCGAGACCATCGTCTCTGCCCAGAAAGCCTGTGCCGAGGATGCCTCTGACTGGGTGCTCTCAGGGCTTCGGCGGAATGGCATGCTGGCCTACCGCCCTCTCGACGGCAAGCTCCAGCCGGCGGAGCTCTCCACGCCCTCTTTCAAGGACCTGCCGCAGGGCTCTGCAAGACTGCGAAGCGAATGGCTGGAACCACGCTTTGGCTGGGTGCAGGATGGAATCCCCTCTGAACCAGACTGGTCTCTGATTCCTGGCACGGCCGCTGCCCAGGAGCTCTTGGACTGGGACGTCGCTCACGGCGACAAGAACTCTGCATCTCTTCTCAAATCAGCATAGCTGTATGTTCTTGAATTAATTAGTCAAGTAATTTTGTCAAACGTCCCCTAACCCGATTTTCGAAGCTCTGAACAAGATTCACCATCCAGGAGGAGGACTACTTCTGTGACATGGACTCTCTGCCACCAACTCTTCGGTGGAACTGCTTCGAGAGCGGCGTTCTCAAGCTCCCGCCAGCTCTCTTGCAGAAAGCCTGGAAGAGGGAAGCTTCTCTCGCGGTGGAGGAGAAAGCGAGAATCCTCGCAAAGAAAGCTGAGAGACAGCTCGTCTCTCAAGCCAAGCGGTCTGTCTCTGAGAAGTTCAAAGAGGCGATGCGGCTCAAGCTGAAGGACATCTCTCGCCAGCAAGCTCTCGCTCTCCACGTCCCTGAAGCAGGGAAGGCGAAAGCCAAAGCGAAGCCTGCCTCTGGGAAGGCCGGCTCTCTGACGAAGGCTCTGAAGAAGGGACTCAAGAAGAGCTCTCTAAAGAAAGCTGCCGCTCTGTTGGCGGGCTCTCAGAAGAAGGTCCAGGAGCTGATCTCTGCACCAGAGCCTCCGAAGACTCTGCAAGGCCCTCTCTTCGGCAAGCAGGTCCGCATCGTGGCGGAGCTCTCGCCCTCTCACCTTGTGGGCCAGGAGGGCAAGGTCTCTTCGCACCTCTCTCAGAAGCTGACTCTGCCGAGCTTTGGTCTGGCCTGTGCAACTCTGAACCTCTCGGAGAAGGATGTGATGCCTCTCTCCGAGAGCTGGACAAAGTCTCTGGAGTGGCAGCCTCTGCGGCTCTCCAGACTCTTCAAGAAGGAGGTGCTCTTGAACTGTGGTCTCTGGTGCGAAGACGACTCTTTCGTGCCGGAGCCCGTGGAGGTTACTCTTGCCAAGAAGCCGAAGATGCTCTTGGACCAGCAAATGAATGCTGCCTGGGCTCTCGTCCGCCACCACTTCGAGCAGAAAGGACCCTGCTCGTCTGTTTTGTAAGGACTCTGTCGTTGCATTTAGGACTCGTACTTAATGACTGTTTCTGACAGGAGAGAGCCTCTCGGACGTGTTCTTCGTGGACGCCTTCCTCTCCAGCTTTCTCTTGCAACACGAGAAAAAGGAGTACCTGATCGCTCACCTACAGACGCAATGGCAGGAGCACAACCTCCTCTTCATTCCGATCTACACACGGAAGCCAGACCACTGGACGCTGCTCGTCCTCCAGAAGGGCTCTGAGGGCGAACCGCCCAAAGCTCTCCTCGCCGACTCTCTGAAGAAAGACAAAGCTCCGACAGCATGTGCAAATGAGCTGAAGGGTCTCTTAGCCGACGTGGACAAGTCGCCTCTCACCGACTACCCGACGGTGACCCAGACCTCTGACGACTGCGGCTTCTTCTGTCTCGCCGTGATGGTGGAGTACCTCTCCCTCCGCCGTGGCGAAGGGCCCAAGCAGAGGGGCTCTCAGCACTCTCTAGTGGCGGATCTGAAGACCAAACTGTCGACCTTCACCTCTCAGCTGAAGGCCGAAGTCAAAAAGCTCTCGGACGAGAAGGAGGAATATCTCATGGACCAGGCCGTTCAACTCAAGAAGGCCTCTGACAAGGCGAAACTCTTGGCGAAAAAGGCCGAGGCGGAAAAGGGCGAACTCTCGGCTTTGCAGAAGGCTGCTCTCAAGGTCCTGAAGGAAGGTGCTCCACCGGATGTCTCTGATTTGGGCAAAGAAGCCCTCGTGGACATCGAGCGGATCAAGACTCTCGGAGATCCAGGGGTGTGCTCTCGCTGTCACTGGCAGAGCGGCTGTGCCTCTTGCGATGTCTTTAAGTGCACTCGCTTCCACGTGCGAGAGCTCTGCCGCACTCTGGGCAAGAAGCCCCCAGCTTGGGCTCTCTGATCGCGAAATTTCTCTGCGCAAGATTGAAAATCGCAGCTGAAGCTCTGCAGTTTCTCTCTCTCTGCAGACCTCAAACCATCGCAGTAGCTGCATTTTCTCTCTCTCTCTGCAGACCTCAAGCCCTCGCAGTAGCTGCATTTTCTCTCTCTCTGCAGACCTCAAGCTCTCGCAGTAGCTGCAGTTTCTCTCTCTCTGCAGACCTCAAGCCATCGCAGTAGCTGCAGTTTCTCTCTCTCTGCAGTCCTCAAGCTCTCGCAGTAGCTGCAGTTTCTCTCTCTCTGCAGACCTCAAGCCATCGCAGTAGCTGCAGTTTCTCTCTCTCTGCAGTCCTCAAGCTCTCGCAGTAGCTGCATTTTCTCTCTCTCTGCAGACCTCAAGCCATCGCAGTAGCTGCAGTTTCTCTCTCTCTGCAGTCCTCAAGCTCTCGCAGTAGCTGCAGTTTCTCTCCTTTTCTCTCTCTCACACAACAACACACAACAAGAAGTATCTAATTTCGGGGATTTTGGGCCGGAAGGTTTTGTAATTGAGGGGGGGTTCATAATTGAGTTCCGGGGGTGGGGTTTTGTAATTGAGGGGGGATTTATAAAAAGTAGGTTAACATTACCACATACTGGTCATTGTCATTGCTGGCAGCCCGACGCATGAGCAAGCAGAGCGATGAACAACCTCGTGTAAACTCACTCTCGCGGCCGCCACAAGTTTTGCAGCATTTCCGGCTCCAATATACGGGCTCCTCGTCGTATCGAGCGGCCGCCAGCGCTCTGTGAAGCGGAGTGTCACCCGCAGTGTCCTGTTGACGGAGTTGGGCGAGCACCTGGCAGGTTGCTGCAATATGACTTGCCAGGCGAAAGACATGACCCAGGCGCCAGAGCACGACGGCTGAACAGGGAACACTCCACACCAGCGAGCGACCTGGGCCTCAATTGTTTTTCCCTCGCCCTGTCCGCGGCCCTGCACGCAAGCAACATGCCAAGCTGCCATAGCTGCGGGCAGCTCACGAAGCCTCAGCGGCACCCCGGGCAAAGAGCTTGAATTATCCTAAACCCCACGAGTCGAAGACAAGGTTCTATGGGCGCCGGGCCGGCAAAAGTAGCCACAACAGGGCAGAAGCTGGTCGTTGCTTAGTAACGTCGTCGTCGTTTTCGTACTAGTCGGCGTCGTATAAGATAACAAAGTTCCAACTCTTGTGCTCCTCTGTTCTGCTTTATCCTAGTCACGCAAGTTGCTTTGTGCCAGTGTACGAAGCCCGACCAAAACAGAGCCCGTGTGCTATAGAACGCAGATGGGGGCACCGATGGCACGCTTGCGAAATGCCTCTGCCGTCGTTCACCTCTACCCACGAACTAAGTACATCAGACACAAAATTTCAAGATCGATGATTTCGGAACACCTGCTGCCCAGCGAGCCTTCCCATTTGCAAAAATCATGGGCATGTTGCACAAAAAGCTGAACTGTGACTAATCTTGCAACCGAATACTGCAACAATCTCCTTCGTGACCAGTGTAGTTGGCATGCTGCCTCTCGAGAAGTGCACCTCTGGAGGTAAATCTCGGAAGCCGTCCACACATCCGAAGAGATGTGCATTGCTGAACTGTATTCCAACAGAGTATCCTGACGTGCGCATAGGTGCAGTAGTTCTTCGAAACATGTGGAAAGCTAAGGCCTCTTCTGCAACTTAAGAGGAGGCCACAAAACGTAGACGGGATGATGGAGGCAGAAACGCTCTTTACTTCGGACCGTTGTTACTAGCAGGATCAATCAGGCTGTATCTCCGAATCATGCAAGTTCTGCAGCATGTCCTTGTTGTGCTCGAGCGGTACTAAACCCTATAAGCCTGTGCCAAACCTGTGTCACACGCACAGCACTGTAGCACATGTCACACCTAGTTAACGGGGGGATTTGAAAGGGTGGCCGAAGGTTGAAGAGGGAGACCCCGACCTCCTGCTGAATCAATTACATTCCCAATGCCGTGTGAGAAAGACGGCCTACTGCCGAAGAAATGGGGTGACGCATCAACAAAAAGTTGATCAGCATAAAGCACTTGGGACAGCAGCGTCAGAAGTCCGGGCACGAGGGGAGCGGGGAGGGGAACGGAAGGTATTGAAAGTTCTTGCAGATGCAAAGCTTTGTTTACAGACAACTCTCGCAAGCTCCGATGCTTTCGTGATCAAAGTTGACCTGAACCTCCTCGGTATCTACGTCGAACACGTGGTGGCATGATGCAGTGCTGGCGGAGCTGCAGTGGCATCAGGATCGCAGGCCACGGAGCTGCAAAATGCAGAAGGGATCTGTCCTCAATTCGAACTTTGCTAGCAACGGTACAGAGCCCGCACGGCCTTGGCTGTGGATGGCTGTGGCTGTTCGATTGCCAGTAGATTGCAATGCATTGACATGAGAAGGTTTTCAAGATCGGCGGAATTGTTGAAGCAAGGTCAAGGGGTCGATACAATCAGAGTCAAGCGCGCAAACAAACAACAGCACCTGGCATTCAGCCTGTGATCAAAACATGATGTCCAGCACCGTTGTCAATTACATGAACAATTCAAGAAAGGAATCGCTTCAGCGCCACGGGCCCAATTGCAAGTACTGCATGCCCAAATATTACATCTGACTTTGCCCGGCCCTACTGCTGATCCTCGAAATCCGTCACAGAGCGATTGGCGCGAAGACGCAGCAGGGTCCTGCTGCTGGCTTGTTTGCCAGCTATGTCGGGCTACGGCAGTGGCACACACCTTCTCCCTTTAATTTACGGTTCGCTACAGCGGTCGTGTTGGTTCTACCGGAGACGCGAGGTTGGGAATTGATCCCACGGCTCAGGATTCGAACATTCGGTTCTACGAAGCTCCGAAGGGCTAACAACCCCGAAACTTTGAAGCCAACTCATGAACAAGGTCGAGAAACTATTCATGCACTCGTTCACCTGTGGAGACCATCAGCTAAGGCCGACGACTCACACAAATTTGCGTTTTACAATCAAGCAGATCAACTCCTCCACCCAACATGCAACAGTTATCAAGGCACAAACACAACAGGCTCAGGCATCTGTGAATGTAATGGCCTGTGCATCCGTGCGTTTTGAATAGAAACAACATCTACATGCAGGCTTCAAGCACTCGTCCAAACAAAACTGATATGATACTGTCCTGTTCCTGACATGCTAAACACCATCTACACGCATGGAACGCAACGACTTCTTTACGAAAGCAAGGACTTAAGCTGTTCCCTGTACAGCTCAAATTCCAAGGCCAAGCCGCTTCACCAATCAAATGGAACCCTAGGAACACCCTTTCTACATGACTTTACAAGGAGGCAGAAGGCTACCGTTGCATCTAAGGGCAGTTCACCACTGCATGCAAACAAGGTGGACATGCACGGAGGGACTCCCTGTCAGCTCGGAGAAGCCCTTCTCGGCGGCCGCCAATAAAGGTGTAGCACCGGAACCTTGGGGGCGAGTTTTGAGGGTTGAAACAAGCTTTGCAAAAAGGAAACGCAATGCTTTGCCTGTAAAGTGTGGGGATTGTGAGCTTTGCTGCTTCTGACTTCGGGGTTGTCACGGCTCCCGAGAACTTTACAGGGCTGAAGAGATGCCCGACCCCCTTCGTGCACGAACACCAGAACGAATGTCGGAAGCTAGGGATCTTGCAAGAACGTCCTTAGCTGCGTAAAGTTCGAACCGTTGTTAGCGGGCACGCGCTGGAGGTTGAAAGCTTCATGGAGACAAAGTGTCACTGCGTACGAGCTAAACATACGGTCTAAAACTTGAGGGCAGAACAAAACCTCACGAAATTTCGCGCTCTGGAAAAGCATAAAAGCACAGCCATCTACGCAAGGCAACCGGATGAATCCAGCAGTACCCCCACAACATAGCACGTTGCATGGTCGGTCGGGATTGTTTTCTTCTCTTCGCGCTGCCGCCGGTAAGAATGCGCACCTTTTCAAATCAAAGCATGAATAGAAAGCAATCATGGCCAGCGGCTAGTCGGTTAACTAATTACTCTGACTCTAGCTGTCAATGTGGGAAGGGAAAGCATCCGCACGGCAAGCACCCCTGCTGTCCGAGCCCAATCGAGCTGTTGGCAGGTTCTGAACGTGATACTGGGTGAGACAAAAGGGACTGTGTGGCCTTCGTACCGTGTTTTGAAAACGTGTCCCAATCTGTGAAGGGGCTTGGGCTTCGGCTGTCTGCACAAACAATAACTACCGGACATGCGCGCCCGATCAACACCACGTTTCTCAATCATGTCTGCCAAACACCGGTCATCATCTCTCAATGCGCCGAAGTGGAGACATCTACTGCGCCAGAAGTGCCTTCCTTAGCCGCCACGAGCTTACTCTGGCACAGCACAAGGTAAGACTCAAGTGCAGGACACATGTCATCGGCTCCGGCCTATTAAAGCTGCTGATGCTGTGCAAGCAGCAGTCAACAGTTACATCCTGACCCCGCCCCGGATGAAAAACCGCGAAATCAAGGATTCTGTCACCGAACTCAACACTGTTGTTGTCATATGCATTTGGACGTGGACCTGGAGTTCCTAGCGAGTTCCTGACGCTCACTCGCAAAACTCTCGCAATTATGCTTGAACTGGGCAGGATGTGATGCATGTAGGCTCATGACGTAAATCGGGTCTCTCCTCTCCTCCTTGTTGCAGGCCACAGTCAGAAACTCCGAATCGAAACTCGGCGTCCGCCGTTTCAAAAGAGGCATCTGAACCGGCCAAGAGTCTTAAACTCCAGGACCTCCGCTCCCCGGCGTTCGGGAAATTTCAAGTCGGGCTTGCTGATCATGCCTCAATGCTGGGCGAAGAAGGCTGCATGGAAGGCTTCCGGGATCGCTCGAATTGTGGACGGCCCGTTTCCATAAGACAGTTCATGAATGTCCTGACAGTTATGGGAGACTAACTGATCCCTTCATGCATTTATTCAAACTCCCCTCAGTACTTAAAAATGTCACCGGCCGGAAAAATCCCAGCTTCGAGCAAAAAGAGCAAAAATGAAGTACAGTAAATTATGTTGAACCAGGGGTCAGGTAGGATGGCCAGAATGCGATTGGAACTACCAGGCTAGTGTCGCACGGAAAATTGGAACGCGGCCGTCTGAGAACAAACACGCGAGATCTGAAATCTGGAATTCGAGGTCTGGAAGTCCAGACATTGCAGCTCTCAAACTAGGGCCGCCGTCTAAGAACAGGAACGTGAGGCCTGAAAAAGTCTATGCGCAGGCTTGGGCCAGTAATTACTGTGATTACTGGGACGCTTCCTAGCTTGGGAATTCCTGGCTTGACTCCAATCTCATCGAATTCCGGACAATTACTCAAAAGATGAAACTACCCGAAACCCCCTCATAACTATTCAAAATTGAAGGCCCCCCAGATAGTGTCTTATTTTTGCAGATGAAGGGATTACTTCGTTTCGTTCAAGCTGAGGGGAGGTGCCAGTATTGTCAGATAACATGCTTTTGGTGTGGTGGTCGTTACAAAGTCTACACGGATCCTGGTGCATTGCCATGGGTGACCTTCCAGTTGAAGAAGTCGTAATAGTTTCAAGGCCACCCAACCAAGTACACTCAGAACTGAAGTGCTTTGGAGTGAGGGTGTTTTCTTCCGCGAGAGGACAAGCGCGGCTCATGAGCAAGCGTGGTCCCAAAAAAATGGCGTTATTTTCAACCGTTTCGAGCAAACTTAATGCAGCATCGAAAGCTTTCGGTTGAATAAGCCAAGCAGTACACGGTGCTTGGCTCAGCCTGGCGCAGCAACTGCGTTCTCGGGCGAGGCCGTGTCAGGAGTATAGTTCTTGATTCACGCAATTCAAGATGCTCCTGGTGCTTTTCTCGGAGAATCCCTGCTTTCATTAATGAAACCTATGGTGCTTGGACGTTCAGCATCGTAGTCATAGCCTGCTCCGAGTCACACACACCGACACACAAAGAGACACACCGACCGAGGAGGGCGGTCAGTACCTGAAATCGCAGCCTGCCATGCTTGAACCGCGAGCTTGAACCTCCTCGTCTTCACAACCCTCAACTCAGCAAAGCCGCTCCAGGTCCAGGGATACTGCTTCCGGTGAACCTCGATGATTTTTTCCAGATCTCGGATTGGAATATCCTGCGCCAGACTTCGGGATGGTTTCGCTACGATGAAGACATAGGGCCCTCAAGTAGGCCAACGGGCACAGCTTCGCACAAAAGCCACTTCACGATGCCCTTCAAGACCCAAAGACCTTCCCCAAAAGGATCGGTCCGGCTCCATTGCTGCGAAGTTCGGCCGATCGCTCGAGAAGCACTTGATGGAAAAGAAGCCGAAGTCTTCTTGCGACTCTTGGAAGGTCTGGCAGTCGATGCTTCAGGCCGCAAGATAATGGAGGAGCGAAGATGACGACCCTTCCGACTTCCCATTGAATCCAACCAAGCTTTCTCTTGACATCCCCTGCCTGTTTGTAATAGGGCTCAAAGGCGTTGACGTGTGCAAGTTGTGCTGAACATTAACGGTGCATTTGGCGCTCGAAAGCTTTCCGTGCTGACTAACGCAAGGACGCTTGGGAGCAGGCGCTTAAACGTTCCAGGCTGGTTACCCCCCTCCACACGCCTCTATCAACTCCTGGAGCTCCTCCAAGCGAGGCCGCCGAAGCTCGCACAGAAGGCCCCTGCGATTGCTCGGCAAGTCTTGGGGCCAGCCCAGAAAGAAATCCCTTGTCACTGATCCTTCGCAAATACCAAATTGCCTAGAGGATCCTAGAGGCCTAGAGTGCTCTTCCTCGAACTTGTAGTTTTTCCAGGACATACATGACGAAACGCTCACCATGCTCGTCCGAGTGTCGGATCTACGCTCTGCAAGAACAGCCCTCCCTGCATCCTCTATATCCACTGCTAAAGAAACCTGCAGTAGATGCGGCACATCGTGCCAAGCAGAGGGCCTGATGTCGGCAATCAGCGAATACCGCGGATCCCAGGCCTGCAGCCCAAAGTGCTGCGGTCCTAATTGACGGTGCGCCCGCACAAAATGCAGCTGGTAATACTCTGCTTCCAACCTCAAAGATGTAGGTCGGCGGAAGCATGGTACAGGAGGCTTTGTCTGTGGCAACAAATCATTCGTGCATTGACCATCGCCAGGGGTCGCAGTGGTCTCCAACTGTAACCGCAGCAAACCCTGACACGTTTTTGAAGCCTCGTCCTGGAAGTGTGCCCCTCTCCAAGATTCAGCACTGCCCGATGGATCCCAAGACCTTCGAAATCTATGGACCCTGAAGAGCACAAAGGGACGGGATTGTAACAGGTGACGAGCTTGCAGCAAGGCGGCACTGCCTGTCACCTCCGTGGATATCCTTCGAACGAGCGTGACAGCAGGCAGAGTTGAAAAAGTTGATCTGTTTACTGGTGGCTGATGGTGGCTGTTGGCCTGTGAGGGGCGTGTGGCAATGGCACTGGGAAGCTTGCCGGTTCGTGATATGACTGACATTCGGGGAGTACAGCCTGCAAGATCCAATTTCTGAAAATCAGGGCTGCCGAGCCGGAGCTGGCTGAGACAGGAACAATTCTCTCCAACCCAAGCCAAAAGTCGCCAAGCGAGCACCCATGACATCATCCAGATGTGCGGCTCCACGACGAGAGCACAGAAACACACGGTCTGGAAGCTCATCGAGCACCTCCATAGCAAAGCAAGCGAAGCGGAGCAAAGAGGCTTCGACATCCCAAGGCTCAGGGAGTCTGTGTGGTTGAGATGGGATGGCTAGTACATGCTTTGATTTGCATAGACCAGCAAGACAGGAGCGGAGATGAGCCCAGGTTTGAAAGGTTGAACCTAGATCCCGACGACTTGCAGTGTGAACAGAGGTCTCACGGCCGAAGAAACACCAGCAGAAAGTGTGTACGGGATGGCAGCTCCTGGCGGTCCTAGATTGTCAGCAAGGACTTCGGCCTGCCCCAAAAAATTCTAGCCGGGTCCCGGCCTGAAACCCCCGAAGCGTGAAAGGGACAACCCTTGGAGTCCCCTGGAGCGAGCGCCTTGTAGCTGCACTCGAAACGATAGGACCAAAGCCTCGCCACAGCAAAGTGTTCTATGCATCTCTGCCTCTCGAAGGCGGGTGTCCAGGTAATTGCAGGAACTGAGAGGAACTTTCTACTGAGATGTGCGCGAGCCCTATTCTGGCTTGTACTTACGCTGGGCAACTATCGAAGCTTGGACATGAAGGACTGCGTGATCATCAGCCCCGGCAAGCTACTGCGTGAGACCGCACAGGCGGACACAAGCTTAGCTCGTCTCAGTGGCAAAGCTTGCTGCCAGCTTGCATGAACATATCGCCAAACACAAAGTCGACGACAAGTGTCAGAAGACTCATAGCCGAAAACACCTCGGCTTGACTTGAGAGCCGAAGGAAGCGAAACTTGCGCCTGTGTTCCTGCGTCTTGTTAGTAGCCGCCAATCCTGGGAGCCTCTGACTGCGGTCGGCAGCCAGTCAAGAACTTGATTCAAATCCGGAGTGCGAAATCCCCAGATTCCAGATGTAGTTAGAGCACGATCGAAACGAATACGGGAGGTTGAAGAGGCCGGTCACTTGCCCCTCAAACATATCAAGCAGCTGCCAAACACGTTGATGCTGTACAGTCCGCGGCTTCTGGGGCCGAAGCAACGACGGAGACAAACTGCGTGAGCTCCATGGTACCTGGGATGACTGAGAGTAACGGGCTAATTCCAGATCTGCATCCCTTCTGTTTTGCTTCCAACTTCGTCTCTCTTCCTTGTGCACAGGGTCGAGCGATCTGACAATGCTGCTCGGGCAGGTAGAAACCAGAACATACCCCACCGGCTTCTGGGCTGCTAAGCTGGTGCCACTAAGTTCCAATCCCTAAAAATTGAGACTGGCAATGCCTTGAATTAGAGCATCAAGATAACCAAGGATGATGAGTAGGCATCATGCCATCTTTAAAGTGATAAGTACCTCCGTTTAACTTCACGACCAGGTACTTGATTAATATGATGTTATCTACTTCAACTCCCGGTCTACGCCCAAATCTCCCAAGGCATTCGTGCCATGCAACTTGATTCACTGATGACAGGGCCGGCCAGTTTAGTGGGGGCCGTGGCTTGCGGCTTGCCCGGGAAGCGCGCGGCAGCACTACGGGAGCATCGTTGCTTCCGATCTTCCGTCGTGCCAGCGGTGACACCCCGGGGGGGGCTGGGGGCAGGAACGACGAATCCTGCTTCAAAGATGACATAGTGTTACCACGACCACTCCAGCCAAAAGCAGCAGAAGCAGCAGAACCAGCAGTAGCAGTGACTAGTTGCAACGGTTGAAGCAGCGGCAGCAGCAGCAGTAGCAACATCAACAATAACCCCGACTGAGAACTCAAGGAACTCAGGCGGCTGCAGCAGCTTCCATCTTTTCCGTTGTCTACTCTGAGCTCTCCGTACCTAAAGGGGGACCTTGATGGAAAACATCCGAAGCATCGGAACGAGCTGCTTCTGTGCATGTAGATTTCCTATACAGGTCCCAGACGGTATGCATGATTTCACACATCCGGGGAGGGACATGCACAGAACACCTATGACTTCTTTGAAGTCAATAACTTCATTGCTTCGTCCTCCACCAATATGAACGACCCTTCCCTTACAACCCTTCGGAACAAGTTCATTGGCGCACCCTTCTTCGTAAGTACGTCCCCTATCATCTGATTGGTTGCCATCCATCGCAAGTTGATGCCGTAGTGCTTTATGTCCTTCTTGAGGAGCAGCATCTCGATGGCCATCCACTTGTCCTTCAGTGACACCGTAGCGCTGTGTGCATGATCATACACCGGCTTGCAGTCAATGGCGGCAGTGATAGGCAGCTTATGGCTCCATTTTCCATCCTCCTTGAGGTTGCAGTCGAAGTTCACTGCCTCACACCACATCGAACGAACCCATCTTGCCTCCGCTAGTCCACGACTCAAGGCCAGAAGCTCAGCACCAAGGGTGCTGTGAGTCTGACGATCCTGCTTGAAGCTTTTCCAGCGAAGAACTGAGAACGTTCCCCATTTGCCCTCTGGCAAACGACTGTTACAGCCAGCTATCATGTAACCAGCCTGACTGCAGTATCCTGCAGCATTCGCCCATGCCGCATCTGTCAGCACACAGAATTGCATCTTCGATATCGGAATGGGTTTCACCCATATGTAGGACCTGCTATGATCTCGAGCAAGGCTTAGCAGCTTATTCACCTCAATCAAGTCATCCACACATGCTGAAGTGACTCTTTACTGCAACAGACTGCACCAAGCTGCAAGATCAGGCCTACTGCTAGAGACTAACCAGTTAATCCCTCCCAGAGAGGCACGCATGTCCTGTCTCTCTCCGTCACTGATGCTCTCACCCTTCTGTCTCCTTCTTTCTTGAGTGAGGTCAATGCTTTTCAGGCTTTGGGCATATTGTCCCTGCGAGATCCTAATGCTTCCATCGTCAAGTTGCTCAAGCCACTTGCCTAGAAACTCTCCTTTCTTGGTTTTCCAGTGTTTGAAGGGAAACAGTTCACGAAGCTTGTCCTGCACATGTTATTGGAAGTGCTGATTACCCCCCATACACAGATCATCAACATGCAACGCGGTAAAACACCGGCTATTTGACCTTCATGATAGTAGTAGTAAATGCAAGGATCAAAAGCCGATGGCCGCGGGCCGCGGTTCCAGCCCTCTCAGCTTACTGTTCAATCACAACCACCAAGCCTTAGGAGCATCCGCCAAGCCGTAGACCGTCTTCACGGCTTCCACTAAGCAACTTTCATCACAGCCCTCTCTAATCCTCCCGGTGGGGGATCTATGAACAACCGTCCACGACTAGGGCTCAGGTCATCGCCTCTCAAGAAGGCGCCCTCAACATCAGCAATGGTCAGGGACCAATGATGAGTAGCAATAAGCTGCATAGCTATCGAGAAACCTTCTGCACTCAACGTAGGAGCACTTGTGTCCAGCTCAAGCAAGTCCGGATCCAGATACCCTCGTATCCAACGAGCCTTGACAACCTGATGTCGCTCGTGAGAGGGCTTGCTCCAGGATCAGCTTTTGTCAACACAAATCTCGGTTTCAAGGTTCTTTTCCTTGGCACGCTCCTTCGCAAGCGCTCAGCCTCTTAGCCTTTATGCACAATGATTGCCCCACTTTGAAGGAGCTTGTTCCACTCCATTGTTTTGGCACGACATAGACCGACTCTGCGCCCTTCGGCAATCTCACACTCAACCAACTCCTTGCGACCACGCTTTGCAACACCAACTTCAAGGCAATCTGGTTCATCATCGTCCAACCAACCTATTCACTGAAAGACTCAAAGACAGTGCGACCAGCCAACGCTCACAATGCAACTCCTGTCCTTCCTGGCCCTCCAATCATAATCACCCTTTCGGCCGCGACGATCAAACCGGACAGATTGACAGACCGCTTCCACATCATGGTTCCTGGCATGTCAACACTCAAAGGCAACCAAGCACAACTCCTTTCTCAACATGCAAGGTGATCACAGTGATCTCTGCCACGCCAATGTCAGCTCTGGTCATCCCTGCTCGTCGGAACAGGAATATCCTCAGCCAATTGCAAGGGATCCCTGGACGATGTAGCCCTTCCATGGTCCAACAAGTCCAGGTTTGCACGCGTAGCATGACCAAGCTGCGACACAGCAGGCTCTAGCACCCTTCGACGCTTCCTTGGAGATTCCTCTCCCATGCATCTCAGGCGCCTGGGGATGCTCCTGACGCACTGCTCGCTCAACTGGTAACTGCATAGGGCCACTCCTTGACACGTCCATGTTCCCTTCCTCAGGCTCATTGAGCAGATCATAGGCAGCCTGTCCAGCACGCTGGCTCTTCTGCACGATGTCCTGCATGCGATCGTCTTCTGGCCGATCATCTGGATTTTCCAGCACACTCAGATCATAGCAATTGCCAGCGCCTCGAGCGCTGACTGAAACTCTGACATACACCATATCCGCTGGAAGAAGCCTCACCATAGCCTCCTGCTCAGGAGAAAGCCGACGGACCTGCACTGGACTGCTTTGTGCCCTTGGCTATCCAAAGCTTGGACTGCCCGGACTTCCCAATCACAACTGCAGGCCCATGCCGATGTGCCTTCGCCTCAAATCTGCTTTTACGCCAGAAGTACACAAACTGACCTAACTCGAAAGGACCTCGCTCTGGTCGACTCCTGTGCTCCAGCGCCTTGCGGATCTTCATATCAGAATCAGCATCACAAAAGGCTCGTCGAGCCGCCTTTCGCAACTCCATCCGCCAGGCACTCTCACATCCCTACCGAACACATGCTGAAAAGGAGAGAACCCTTCGACCCTCGACATGCTATTCGCAGCGTTGTTCACTTGATCCACCAGTTCCTGGACTTCAGGCTTATTTCGTGGTTGAACCTCCAAGTGGGCCTTCGAGAAAGCAGTTTTCCACACATCACCTTTCCTTTCCACCATCCCATTCTGCCAGAAAGAATAAGCAGCTGACACGTCACCGAAAGTTCATCCAGTGACAGCCCATGTTCGAACTCGCCCTCAAACTCCTTGCCTCCATCACACGAGAGTCGAACTGGCGCTCCAGCCCGACGCTTCCAGGATTTCCGATCACATTTTTCGCCTGCATACCTTTCCAAAGAGGAGTGCACAACTGAAACCCCGTAGCCTCATCAACAATGTTGAGAAAATGCATCTTGAGGTTCCTAACCTCCAGCTCAAAGGTATCAACACAAACCTGCTGATTGAACGCCGTGGCCTTGCGAAGCTGTGCAACGTTATGTGATTTGGGCGGGTCTACTCAAGGCACTGCAAGTCTCACACTCAAGTCCTCTCGCAAGCTTGATGACTCTCTCACTAGCATGCGCACTCTTCAGCAACATGACCATCCGAGCCGGCGAAGGATGTCCCAAGTTCTCATGACACTTTCTCAACACATTCATGATCTTTCGGTCGCTCTCGCCCTCCGCTCTCAGATCATCAATGGTGTACACGCAATGCGCCACCATCAGCTCATATCTAGCCCGTTTTCGCCCCGTCACAGCCACTGCCACATCCTTTCCAAACCATCGCTCGTCATCTCTCGTATGCACATATGTGGCCACCCATGTCCCAGCCTGTTCATCACCTCACGGCTATTGGTCACCACACGAGCACCAACGCCTTCATCACCAATCCACATCTGTCTACATCCTTGCTCACTCTGCACTTTCGCCCACACCTTCACTCCACTCTTCACACTCTCATTCTCATCAAGCACACAGAACTGTCTACCTTCACAGTCTGCTCACTGCACACAGCTGCAACAAGACGCGTGAAAGCACAGCGCTGACGTGTCGTCAAGACTCGGCAAAGACCTCTGTCACCTCTAGCGCGAGTCAAGTGATCTGGTGTTCGAATCACAACGACAAGCAAAGGCTGAAGCTGGCGGACTTTTTGTATGGCTGTAGCCACGGTGTCTGGTAAGCACATGGCTCTGGGATTCAAGAAACCATCTTGGAAAATAGGAGCCGTGGTGAGTCCAGCTGCCGTGGCAATTGACAACTCCGCTCCAGCTTCCAGGAAAAGCACATCAATGCCAGTTGGCACATCAAGTCGCTCCCTCAGCCGGAACCTTTACAAATCTCCATGCCACACCTGCACAGCTTTTTCTCACCCTTGCTCATGTGACTGACGTCACATTCTTCATCA